ATGACAATCCGTCAGAGAAGCACTCTTTCAGTGTCCGGACTATATGCCTATTTCTGCCGTGAAGCAGTAATGCGTTTCGGTTTGAAGGGTTGGGCAGCCGTCGTTACTATACTTGAGACCTTAGAACGTGTATCTCAAGGTGGGTGGCGCATTTACGTTGTGGATGTCTATGGGCTTCAGTAACCACTTAACACCAGGTGGGCTGTGAGCTCGTCCACCCATCTAAGCAATAAAAAAAAAAATATATATATATATATATATATATATATATAATGTATCGGCCGACAATATTAAGTTTATATGCTTTCTTCACACTAAACGCTATTCTACAGTCACACAATATGCAACTGTCTATCTTTCAGACCACAGTCGGCCACTGCTGGAGATATGCCTCCCCCAAGCATCCCCACAACGACCGCTCCAGCGCTGTCTGCATCCAGCGTATGTAATTATGTATGGAACTGTAATCAAAACTATTTTACGACTTAATATTGCGTTTCTAGTGTCTTTAATTACCGATTTTCGAACAATTTACAGGTTTTGTGGTAAAATAACGATGAATATGTGAAACTAAACAGAGATCAGGCCGCTTTTAGTGGTTTCAATTATTTTTACGACAGGGAAAAACCGAAGAAAATACGAATATATTGTATAACTGTTTTTACGCAAATAAATTCATCGGACATTGACCCTAAGCTAGGATCTGCTCCGGCGTGATAATAATAATAACTGGAAACAAATCACGCACGGTCATCCAGTTCCAAAGTAGAATTATCTATGTTATGGGTACCAGGGACTGAGATACATGTTTATATACGTTTAAATATATAGTTATCCAGACAAGAGCAAACAAACCAGTTCATCACACGAATGTCTGCCCGTTGTGGAAATAGAACGTAAGAACCTCGGCGCAAGAAATAAAATTCTAATTAATCTGCAAATCAATTTAAAGATCTACTTACTACTACCAGGTAAGTACTGACTAAACTGACAAGACAGTCTAAATCACAATCCAATTGCAATTGAAGGTAATGCTGAAGAACTCTTGGTTAATAACGTTCAGTAATTCTAAGACTTTAACAGTAATTCTTAGGTTTTGTTACAACCCGACATCTTACGCCCCACTAATAGACGGCTGCTTTTATAATGGACATTCTCCGTATCAAAAAAAAGTTTATTGACAAGCTAGCAAAAGATAAAAATGACGTTGACGCAAAAGATTTAGACGCGACAAACTGTTTTCCAGTAATTTTCTAAATAATTCGTGAGCTAAACGAACATTCTCGATTCTTCGAGAATACCTACTCATTTAGCCCAATATTTTTGCTGGCTTTAATAAAACAAGCTGAAACACTCGTCGAGAAACAAGAGGCGGAAATTTCGCGCGGCACGTAATAGAATCTGTCGAATCGTGAATTTAGTCGGCAGGGTGCCGCTCCCGCAAATGATGTTAATCAAATTATCTTAAATTCGGAATTTTGTTAACGGAAGTAACANTTCTTCGAGAATACCTACTCATTTAGCCCAATATTTTTGCTGGCTTTAATAAAACAAGCTGAAACACTCGTCGAGAAACAAGAGGCGGAAATTTCGCGCGGCACGTAATAGAATCTGTCGAATCGTGAATTTAGTCGGCAGGGTGCCGCTCCCGCAAATGATGTTAATCAAATTATCTTAAATTCGGAATTTTGTTAACGGAAGTAACATTCGAGATAGAGGATTTTAGCCTCTAACACCGAGACCGCTTCAGACTATTTTACAACGAACTATATATAGCGTTGAAAGCGAAATGACTTGTTTCAAAATGTAACGTATTTGTGTGGAGGGTCTTGTTCTGAGTCAGTAATGGTTACATTATCGTGGCTCATTTATTTAACCGTCTACCTAATAGTAGTTTTATTCAAAACCCTTACACCGAAAACGTCAAAGCTTAAATCAAGTCTGCTATAATCTTATGCAATCTTACGTTCCAAATTGGGCAGGTTTGTTGGATTGCGACGACTATGGCCATCGTTTAAGAATACCAAACCTTAAGAAAAAAGAAAACGGATTTCGTCAAAATTAAATGATATTATATTCGGCAGTAAATTAGCTATGGATTATTATTAAGACTAACTCAAAAATAACTCCCAGTCACATCATCATAAAATCTAAATGGGACCAAATGAGAATTATTGGTCTTTCAGGATCCTTCCATGATCGGTTCAACTAGGAAAAGTTCTGAAAAATACATTCTAATTGAGATCCCCCTCCTTTTAGTCGGTTAATAATCGTAACCATCGGTACAAGCAATCCGTTTTTCAATTAAAATTAGATAATAAGCCGCATATTCTTATTAGAACTGGACAGTTCCTCGCATAAGCTCAGAACAATATCACAAAAAAATAAAGAAGTTGCTTAAACCAAAACATTATCAAATAATAAATAAATAAATAAAATAAAATAAATAAAAAGCCTTTTATTTCACCCATAAAAAAGTAACTATTACATTATACATATATTTTTTTCTATTATTATTACCATTTTAATTTTTTATTTAACTAACTTTGATTTGTTTTTGGGTTAAGATTAGCGTGAACCCCTCTGTTTGAGGGTAAAGGCCTCCTCCAAAGATGCCCAATATTCTCTATCTGTGGCCTTTTCCATCCACAGTTTACCAGCCGTCCCTTCGATATCGTCAGCCCATCTGCTTCTAGGTCTTCCTCTTTTTCTGTTTCCCCTAGGGCCTGGCCATGACGTCAGCCAAGAGGTCCATCTATCGTCACTAATTTTTGCCACGTGACCTGCCCATCATTATCATTATCACCAAACATTATCAAATAAGTCATGTGTAAACTGAGTATTGCTTCACGCAAAATAAATTCCACGAGGACCGACAAAGAAATGTACACATTCTTCATTATGCAACAGAAAATTTGCAACAAAAATTATTTGCTTTTTTTGCCCCTTTATTTTGGCCGACGCTGAGATTTTATAAATTGCATAGAATAATGAACAAGCTTACGGCCCACTTAGTGTTAAGGGTTGCCTTATGCCGTCACTCAACTTAAAACTTGAGGTTTACGTCTCAATTGTACTACGTACTTAGTATATAATTATGTAAATTGAATTTATTATTATTATTATTTTATTTTATTGCTCTTGTAGTACAAGGTAGAGGGGGAAGAGGTCAACCGAAGAACACATGGATGGAGTGTGTGAATAACGATATGAGAGAGAGAGGAGTGAGTGTTGAGATGACGGCTGATAGAAGAGAATGGAAGAGAAAAATTAGCTGTGCCGACTCCACCTAGTGGGATAAGGGGAAAAAAAAGAAGAAGATTGCCCTTGTAGGCTGACAAGCATACGGTCCTTCTGATGATGAGCGATTACCGTCGCCCATGGACTTCAGCAATGCCAGGGGCAGAGCCAAGCCGCTGCCTACCGTTAAGTAATCTCCACAAGCCTCGTTTGAAGAAGGACGTATTACAAGTTGTTCTTCCTTCGTCGTAGGTGCTTGCGGAACCCGAGCTCCAGCTTAGTCATATCTCAGTGCACAAGATAGAAAAGAGAAAGAAAAAAGATATCATCTTTAGCCCAAGATGACATTAAATTTGCACATTATTCGAACAAAGCGATTACGTTTGGAAAATTGAAGGGTTGTGAGAGCATCTGCATTTTATTATACTGTCTACCAGTGGTTCCCGCCTACATCGCTGTGACCCTCCATAAAATTTACCCATTTAATACGTGCCCTTCTGATCCGAATTGGAATTCATTGGTTGTTATATAACAATTTCGGTCACAGTTCATTTGAATCCTCCGAATCTACAAAGGGTCTTGTGGTGCTTATGGCATTTTTTCGGAAGGTGGTTTAAGAGAAATCGTCTCAGCTCAGTTTCATCATCACTCAAATTAGCGCCGAAATAGAGATTTGACCCTGCTACCTGGTATCATAGCGTCATCCATAATGATTTGCCAGAGATGAATTTTATCAATTATCAACCATCGTGTTCTTTTATCATACATTCTGTGAATCAGTGGTAACCAGCGACGTAGTTGTCGCTTTCTACAGACGCCGTTCCTCACTTCATATGCTCCATATTAATATACGTGCTTGGCGCTCGAAGACCAGAATAGAAGTCTTTGGTGAACCCAGAATTGAAACTGATTTACTGGTGGTAGGACCTCTTGTGAGTCCGCACGGGTACCACCACCCCGTCTATTTCTGCCGTGAAGCAGTAATACGTTTCGGTTTGAAGGTTGGTGGCGCATTTACGTTGTGGATGTCTATGGGTTCCAGTAACCACTTAACACCAGGTGGGCTGTGAGCTCGTCCACCTAACTAAGCAATAAAAAAAAACACCGTGACAATTAGAAAGGAAAATTGAAAATTTGAGAATTGGTCCGATTTCAAAAATTCTTTCAGTGTTAGATAGCTCATTTATTGAGGAAGGCTATAGGCTATAAAACATCACGCTAAGACTAATACAAGCGGATCACCAATAAATAATGTTTCAAAATCGTTTGTTTTTTTTCCTTTTAAATAGCTCCTTAACATTCTATTATTCAAAAATATTTTCACTTTCTACGTAAATGAAGAGGCGGGTAAAATTTAGCGTTATGCCAAAGTAACTATTTCGCGTGGACGAAATCGCGGGCAAAAGCTACCTAGTTACAGATATGTCTGTATGACTAAAACTTAGAATCATTTATACCACATTTCCAGTCTGACTAAAGCCCTAATTTCTAGCTTTAGGGCTAGATTGAATCCCAGAAGTGCAGAAAAAACTGTGATATCAGAAGGAATCTGGTATTTCTGTTTCAACCAACGATAATACGTTTTAATAAGATCCGGCTAAAAGCTTTATGCACAATTCTACATGTGTATACAACATTTTCTCTTTTTGAAAACTCTCCAGCGTGCTCGAAATCGGTGCCACAAAAGCACACGTGCTTCAAATACATTTTTTTAAAGTGATAAAGTTTTGTAACGTGATCACTTCAAACTAGTTACTTACCTTCCGAATATTGTACGGACAATGAAGTGGAATCATCGGGTAGATATGCGTCATAAAAGTCTGCCAAAATAAGAATTTGTTTCATGCAAAACAAAAAAGCGAGAAATTTTGTTGATTCAACACCCGAACTCGATGTCGCTTGTCCTAAGTCGTCGTGGCCTAAAGGATAAGACGTCCGGTGCATTCGTGTTGAAGCGATGCAACGGTGTTCGAATCCCGCGGGCGGGTACCAATTTTTCTAATGAAATACGTACTCAACAAATGTTCACGATTGACCTCCACGGTGAAGGAATAACATCGTGTAATAAAAATCAAACCCGCAAAATTATAATTTGCGTAATTACTGGTGGTAGGACCACTTGTGAGTCCGCGCGGATAGGTACTACCGCCCTGCCTATTTCTGCCGTGAAGCAGTAATGCGTTTCGGTTTGAAGGGTGAGGTAGCCGTTGTAATTATACTGAGACTTTAGAACTTGTATCTCAAGGTGGGTGGCGCGTCTACGTTGTAGATGTCTATGGGCTCCAGTAACCACTTAGCACCAGGTAGGCTGCGAGCTCATCCACCCATATAAGCAATAAAATATAAAAAATCAGCGATGGTAAATTAGAAAATTTGCTTCTACGGACATAATTTTGTACATCACTATGTTCTCAAAATTTTTTTTACTAGCAGCCGGATGTCTATAGGTAATTTATAGACGATATTGCCCTTTAACTTCCGCTTCCCTTTCAAGCTAAAGACGCTTGCTTGGTTTGTAAATTTTGCCCAAAATATTTTTATGAAATAAATTCCTAACGTATTTTTAAAACATTGAAGTCATCTGTGGTTATTTGCTTGTTAACAAAATAGAGTGATTTTCTAAAAATTATAATAAACCACGTTTCAGGTTTATAGTTGCATATATCTTAAAGAATCACGAAAAATCATAAACTATCAGAAGGTTCAAAAGACAATCTATAAAAATTACAGGCTGAATAAAATCTATAATATTCTATTCACGAATTCCCAAATACTCATCGATTTCCATTATATTAATAATGAATGTATTTTAGTAACATTTTCTTCTAATAATAAACAATGAACACACTAAGCCTTTTCCATTCACATCCAGTTAAATCTTTTGTTGCAAAGATATTTTCTATACTAATATTATAAAGAGGAAAGATTTGTTTGTTTGTTTGTTTCGAATAGGCTCCGAAACTACTGGACCGATTTGAAAAATTCTTTTTCCATTAGAAGCCGACATTGTCCCTGATGAACATAGGCTACTTTTTTTTTTTTTGGTTTCATGTGTGTTTTAATGTTTCCGAAGCGAAGCGAGGGCGGGTCGCTAGTTATGAAATATAAGGATATAAGTTATCTTTCATAACAATTTTACGTACCTCCAAGTAACTCAGGGTTTCCGAGGTTCACGTAAAATAGAACATCTTTCTCGTAGCTGTCCTCTTCTATTATATGCAGCGGAATGTATTTTCTGAAACAACAGAAGCATAAAATGTACTTATCAATCAACATTGGGTTCTGAAAAATATTAATTTCATTTTATCATTAGCAGTTTACGTGCAGCCAAAAGTTTTTACGCTTTTGCATAGCTTTTATCGCGGGCTTTGAGCACGGCGACGGAATCAAGAAATTCCGTAACGAAAATAAAACCTAACACCCTCCACTCCGCCTACCATGTAGCTCGCGTTCAACACATTTACAGGTTGCGCTTGTGTAGTGTTTGTGAATAAGCACGTCGCACTGCATGCGCATCATGAAAATTCTGCCTATCTCTCTCTCGCTCGGTCTAGTTTATGAGTGTGAAAGGGACAATTAATGTTTTACTTTTAGTAGCGTAATCTTATTTTATTATTGTTTTAATATTAAATTATTATTGTCTAATTATAATTGCATGAGTTGATAAAAAATGCTATACAATAGCTTTACCGCGGCAGTCCCCGAGTGCCACACGTGTTTAGTTCCAAGAACAACCTCAAGCCTGTGGTTCAGTTGGTATTAAGTGTTTATCGGTCCATAGATGCTACTGCCTGAATACCGACACCTTGAAACGTGAGGTCATATAGGCCCGTCCTACTGATCAAATAGACAAAAAATCAAAATGCCAGCTCGTAACCAAATTAATTATAGAACCAATAACAAATCAATAGATGAATATTAATTCGTACTATTATAATATTAGCTATGGAATTTTTGATTCGTTAACAGGCAACATTCAACACAAAGTGAAAATTTGTGTTTGTTTTGTAATTCCAATTCAGTTCCAAATAAAGCCAGTAAACTTCTGCATCGAAATAATTAATTCGTTTGCATTCGCTTCGTTTGACTCTGTCCTGACATCGTTCTACTAAAAACCGTGCCAAAAGGTAGACTATCTCTCTATCTAATTCCCGAAATGCTACAGATAAAAACTTTAGTCGTCCGTTATCACAAAGAAATACGAGTATTCTGTCATTTTTATTTACACTAGCAGAGGTTTTTTTTTTGATAAATTGTATTTTTTGAAATTATATTTAATTATTTTTTTATTGCCCTTGTAGGCAGACGATCACACGGTCCACCTGATGGTGAGTTGTTACCGTCGCCCATGGACCACAGCAATGCCAGAGGCAGAGCCAAGCCGCTGCCTACCGCTTAATACTCTCCACAAGCCTCGCTTGAAGAAGGATATGTCATGACGCTCGGGAAACACCGTGGAGGGGAGCTCATTCCATAGCCGGATGGTGGTACTTGGCAAAAAAGATCTCTGGAAACGCACTATGCATGACCGCAGTAGCTCCAGGTAGTATGGATGAACTCTACTCCGGAAAACGAATTACATATTGAGAAAATGATGAAATATGAAGAATATTTTTCGATCTTACCGACAGAATAATAAAAAAATTTGAACTGGTTATTTAAAGAAAAAAATCAAAATTATCGATAAACTTTATTATTGAAACCCCGAATAAAACAACATTTTCTGAAAATTACTCATAGTTAGATCGATTTATCGCCCCCAAAATCCCCTGTGTACTATGTAATTTTATAAAAATCGTTGGAGCCGTTTTCGAGATTCAGATTATATATACTTGTATACAAGAATTGCTCGTTTAAAGATATAAGATAAATAAAGCATCAGATAACAGATTACAAGAACAGCGAGTACTTCAAGCCGTTTATTCATATATACATACATATAGGTATTGTTTAAAACATGTTACATATGACACCTCGATACCCGATGCATCAATAATGGTGTATATCGATTTTTTGTAAGTACGCCAGTCCGTGTACAATTTTAGCATCGCTCATCATGTACGAAGAAGCCTTTCTGTTTTCACGTCACTTCGATTGTTATCTATATATTAATACGTGAAGGAAAAATTTTGTATCCCTTTTTACGAAAATTGCGCGGACGGAGGAGTATGAAATTTCCCACACTTACAGAGAATATAGAGAAGGAGTGCATAATGTTAATATTTTTTTAAATTATGCCTAAAAATACATTAAATCAATAAAAAAAACATTACACACACTACCATGTATTTGACGCACACACGCATGCATACTATTTATTTATTGTCAAACTTTTGTTCTTGACGTATGTGGTCAAATTGAGAATAGATTAAATATTGTTTGTCTTTATTAATATTTTTCTATAGTGTAGTAGTTTTGGCGAAATTTGTGATTATAGAAGTATAATACATAGTCTTTAAAAATAGAATCATGATAGTGTACAAACTTATAATTTCAATTAATTATAGTCGAATTTCGACTACTGCGGGACCACTAGTTCTATTTTCATCGACGAGTTAGCCTTTGAAGATACGGAGTTTTCCAGTACTTTTTTATTGTTGGGAGATCCATTTTAATATGTAGTAATGTCTTTTCGGAGCTCGGTTTGTAAAACGTCAAGAGAGATTTAAGAAGACGACGTACTTTGCTACACGCATCTTGCGAATGATAATGGTGGAAAATCCTCATCTGCATATCTGCATTGGTTGAGCTGTTTCTGGTTCGAAGTTCGAACCCTGGCTTTCCAGTGACGGGTTTTGAATTAGAGATTTCACTCAAGCATACTCCTACGACCTCAAACTGAAGACGGAAATGCAGTAACTTCTACATAATTAAAAATATAGAGAGAAACAGAGAGAGAGAGAGTATTCTTTATTGTACACCAAAAAAATAAACAATGCCAAACATCAAATACAAAAAAAAGAACATTTGGAGGTAAAGTACAAGCTTTTGTACTATAAGACTTAGAACTCATGTTTCAAGATGATTGGTGGCATTTACGTTGTTGATGTCTGTGGGCTCCGAGAAACACTTAGCACCCGGTGGGCAATGAGCTCGTCTACCCTTTGAAGCAATAACAAAACAAAATACAAACAATACGAATGGTGATGGAACGTATGGTACGTTATGTGGTAATTGGTCTGGTCTATTTTAAACTTTTACTACACGAAAAACATTTTTTTTTATTGATTTATCGAGTCCTTCAAAACGGAACTTGTAACTTCTTCGCGGCAGGAATAGGCAGGATAATGGTGCCTAACCTTGCGAGCTTCCATTCGCCTTAGCACAAGTAACAACAAACCCAATCCACGAGTGATTATATCGTTTACAACCAACGGATACGAGCAATTACTGGGGCCGTAAACCATAGCACAATTACTTTTATATGGCCGATACAAAGTTGCCAATGAAAATTCTCAAGCCTTAACGGAACACGAATTCGCTCAAACCACAGATATTTTATACCGAGAGTTTGATGACCGAGCTCTCGGCTCCCCTAGTCTCAGTCATCTGAGCCGACATACCAATGTCAATGTCATCATCTTTCCACATGAGTTCGAAGCCTTAATTTTACCGTAGAGTGGCCGCCCCACCCTTCAAACCGGAACGCGAAACTGGCCTATCTTACCTTACCACTAGTATTTAACCACTATTCATCTTCTTTTTGCATGTATCCTACGACGTAGGGTCGTCGCAATATAACTTCTTTTTCGACTCAGGCCTATCATATGTCATCTCTGCACTCACACCTTTCTCTTGCACATTCTCTTTCACACAATCTGTCAAAGTCGTTTTAGGATGCCCCTATATCACCATAATTTAACCATCACCAGTGATAATCCCGTTTATCTCAGCATCAATTGGTTCGTTAGCTAATTCGTTAGGCATTTCGGTTAGTTAACTATTTTGGCTTCGGGAAGGGTTCAGTACGTCCCAATATGCGAAAACCCGTTTTAATGTAATTTTAACTAAATAACCAAGAATAGGGCCACGATTGTATTTACATAAATTGTGTAACCCAAATAGGATGGCTTTTTATCGCAAACGAGTTTGGACGGTTGCCAAGTTTCAAGACGTCCACCTCGTACTCACAGTGACGATAATATGAAAACAAGTAATGGTTATGCATTAAGTGCGCATTAGGTATTAAGTATGCATTAAGCTTAGTAGACCACATCTTGGGGATTGAAGTCATAATCGCAATTACATTGGAACAACAGCTGTTGTATGCAAAGCAAAGGCCTTTACGGCAATTATGATGGTAGCAGTTTTTGAGTTTAATATTAGGTAAGTGTTACTAAAACGATCAAACTTGATACTTCCGTTCATCCAATGTCTGCCTTAATCGGCCTGTTACAACTTTAAATTTACATTTGCGATTTTTATAGAAGACATAGAAATTATCAAGTTAGCTAATGACTAAAAACTTAGAACTTTAGATAAAAGAAATGAACTATAAGATTGATAAGGTAGACAGATTTATCTGCTCTATAACATCATTATCGCAGCATGATGTATCATGACTTCGTAATCATGATGCTTGTAAGAGAGCAAAATATCAGGAACCTATAAAAACAAAAAATCGTGGTACGAACCAGTAATTAAACAACAGTGTTTTAATTGACTTTTTTTTATTGACAGTGCATTGCAGCGAGGGAATCGACAGTTAAATTATCAATTATAAAACAAATCATTGGGGCTTTTTTGCAATAAACTGCTATCATTGATTCGCTAATTGGATTACAAGAAAAATACTCTCAAAAGTAAAAGAAATTTTAACCTTAATAAATTTAACACAGAACAAAGTTTTCCTAAACCTTAAACTGCCATTGATCACTAAAGCACACTTCTTGGTATTTTCAATAAAATGAAAAGGCTCAATTTTAGCGTAGAAGTTAAACTCATTCACCTGTCGAAACGATTGATGGTGATCTGACATGAAAAAATGTAATATCGCGCAAAATTGTATGCAGGATCTGAACTATAAATCAATGCGATGAAAAAAGGATAATTTCAAAAAGGCTCGAGTCGCAAAATATGTCATTTATCAAACGTCACTTTGCAGATCAGAGGCAAAAAGTTGCCAGTCTCCTTGGAGCGGTCCAGGGCGGTATTTGGGTGTCGAGGGATCCACGGAAAAAAATTGCGGCTAGAAAAACATACATCACCGGTGGAAGGATATATTTGTGAGTTCGC